CACTCAATCACTCAGTCACTCAGTCAGTCACTCAGTGACTCAGTCAGTCACTCACTCAGTCAGTCACTCAGTGACTCAGTCAGTCACTCAGTCAGTCAGTCACTCACTCAGTCACTCAGTCACTCAATCAGTCACTCAGTGACTCAGTCAGTGACTCAGTCAGTCACTCACTCAGTCACTCACTCAGTCACTCAGTCAGTCAGTGACTCAGTCAGTGACTCAGTCAGTTACTCACTCAGTCACTCACTCAGTCAGTCAGTAAATCAGTCAGTCAGTCACTCAGTCAGTCAGTCACTCACTCAGTCACTCACTCAGTAAGTCAGTCACTCACTCAGCCACTCAGTCAGTCAGTCACTCACTCAGTCATTCAGCCACTCAGCCAGTCAGTCAGGCATTCACTCAGTCAGTCACTGGAGCCGCAAGGTGGAGCTCCTCACTGGCAGACACCACGTGCTCACCACCAGGTGTGGAGCTCACTCAGCCACTCACTCAGACACTCACTCAGCCACTCACTCAGTCAGTCACTCACTCAGTCACTCACTCAGCCACTCACTCAGTCACTCAGCCACTCACTCAGCCACTCAGTCAGTCACTAACTCAGCCACCCACTCTCTCACTCAGTCACTCACTCACTCAGTCATTCACCCAGTCACTCACTCACAGGTAGCTCAGTCACTCACTCACTCACCCACTCACCCACTCACCCACCCACTCACCCACCAACTCACCCACTCACCCACCCACTCACTCACCCACCCACCCACCCACTCATCCACTCACCCACCCACTCACCCACTCACTCACCCACTCACTCACTCACCGCTCACTCACTCACTCAGTCAGCCACTCACTCACTCACCCACACACTCACAAACCCAATCATTTATTCAGCATCTCAATCACTCAGTCACATGCAGTGTTGGTAGTGGTGATGGTGTTAATGGTGGTTGTTGTTACTGTTGTTGTGGTAGTGGTGACGGTGTTAATGGTGGTTGTTGTTACTGTTGTTGTGGTAGTGGTGACGGTGTTAATGGTGGTTGTTGTTATTGTTGTGGTGGTGGTAATGGTGGTTGTTGTTGGGGTTGTTGTTTTTCCTGTTCGTTGTTGTTGCTGTTGGTTGTGGCGGTGGTTGTTGCTGGTGTTGTACCCTCGTGCTGTGGATCCATCGTGAGGCTGAGCGTCTTAGCTGGCTCAGAGAGCGCAGCGGCAGTGGAAAGTGAGCCTGGCACGGCTCCACCAGGGCCTGGCACGGCTCCACCAGGGCCTGGCACGGCTCCACCAGGGCCTGGCACGGCTCCACCAGGGCCTGGCACGGCTCCACCAGGGCCTGGCACGGCTCCACCAGGGCCTGGCACGGCTCCACCAGGGCCTGGCACGGCTCCACCAGGGCCTGGCACGGCTCCACCAGGGCCTGGCACGGCTCCACCAGGGCCTGGCACGGCTCCACCAGGGCCTGGCACGGCTCCACCAGGGCCTGGCACGGCTCCACCAGGGCCTGGCACGGCTCCACCAGGGCCTGGCACGGCTCCACCAGGGCCTGGCACGGCTCCACCAGGGCCTGGCACGGCTCCACCAGGGCCTGGCACGGCTCCACCAGGGCCTGGCACGGCTCCACCAGGGCCTGGCACGGCTCCTCCAGGGCCTGGCACGGCTCCACCAGGGCCTGGCACGGCTCCACCAGGGCCTGGCACGGCTCCACCAGGGCCTGGCACGGCTCCACCAGGGCCTGGCACGGCTCCTCCAGGGCCTGGCACGGCTCCTCCAGGGCCTGGCACGGCTCCACCAGGGCCTGGCACGGTCCTGCACTCATACACACACACAGAGACACACACACAGACACACACACTCAGAAACACACAACAAAAACAACCGCCATTCGCCACTAAGTGGCGGTGACGTCACCACGACGCTTGTGCCAGGCTATGTGCACCCTGAGGCCACGTGAAGTGTCGAACGCCCGCTGGCAGGAGGTCACGGGGCAGACCCAGCAGGTGCCACGGGTCGACTGACTGAGATGAGTGGCTGATGCACCACCTGTGCCCCCTACTGTGCCAACCTGCTGTGCTTTAGCCACCCGGGGCTCCGCTCGTTGTTGTGAGCGTCGCTCCTCCGCCCTCCGTTGTTGTTGGAGGGCGACTGCCTCCAACTGCCCAGTAGCATCCTTCACGAGCCTCCTCCACAGAGGCCGATCTTGACAGCGCTGGTACCAGTCATCGGCAAGTCCACTCAGCTCCACGTCCTCCTGTACCACATCACTCCATCTCTTCTCTAGCCCGTGCCGCGCCCGTTTAGCCCCCTCGATCCGGCCGAACAAAAGCTGTTTCGGCATGCGGTGGCTGGGCATGCGGGCTACATGACCCAGCCAACGCAGCCTTGCCTGCCGGAAGAGCTCACCGATGGGACCTTGCCCAGATCTTTCAAGGATTTGTGAGCTCCTCACACAATCCAGTCTGGTTAAACCCAGGATGGATCGTAGGCAGGCCAGCCTAAATGTTTCTAACCGGCGAAGATTTTCCATTAGGGGGGTCCACGTTTCGCAAGCGTAGAGAAGGGAGGGAATGACCGTGGCCGAGAAGACCTGAAGCTTAGTGCGGAGCGACAGACCAGGTAGCTTCCACACAGCGTTACGCAACCGATGAAAAGATATTGCCGCTCGACTGATTCGGAGTGAGACCTCTGCTATTAAACTGGAGCTGGTCATAGGCACACTGCCCAGGTATGGGAAACTCTCCACTCTCTCCACAACTGCCCCATCACCGATTGGGAGTTGTGGGGGTGGAGTGTCCGATGGTACAAAATACCCAGGCAGGTGCTTAGTTTTGGTGGGGCTGATGGTAAGGCCCCACCTCTTAGTGGCAAGCTCCAGTCTCAGCAGCAGCGTCTCCAACTCCTCCTCTGAATGAGCAGCTATTACCAAATCATCAGCATACATAACGTGGTTGAGCAATAGGGAGCCATCCCTTGACCGCACCTGGGCATCGATCAGCCTCCCACTATATCTGTACCATATGGAGATTCCCCCGGTACAGCTATTGAAGGCTTCACGAACTACGTGGTCGAAAAATATGTTAAATAATGTGGGAGCCAGAGGACATCCCTGTCGCACCTCAAGGTGTAAAGGGAATGGCTCCGACTCCCGGCCACGTAGTTTTACCCGGGCCCGCTCACCATCATGAAGGTCCTTAATGATCGTGAGCAGAGGGTCATGTACTCCAAAAGCACGAAGAACGACCCAGAGCCCAGGCCTACTGATGGTATCATAGGCCTTGACCAGGTCAATAAAACAGAGATGTAGGTCTTGCTGGAATTCCCTACACCTCTGCTGTAGCAAATGGACAGAAAAAATGGCATCTGTGCAGGACCGCCCTTTCCTGAAACCGCATTGGGGCTCCGCAAGCCTCTCCTCAGCGTGCCTGGCGAGGCGATGTTGAATAATCCTTGCCAGGACCTTTCCTGGCACACTGAGGAGTGAGATGCCCCTGTAGTTGTTACAGTCTGTGCGGTCCCCCTTCTTAAAGAGGGGGACCACCAGGGCATCCTTCCAATCCTGCGGAACCCGTCCAGTGGTCCAGACTGTTGCTATGATGTCATGTAGGGCAGTCTGTGCACAAACGCCACCCTCCCTCAGCATTTCGCTTGGGAGATCATCTCTGCCTGGTGCCTTTCCTGGTCTCAGTCTCCGGATCGCCTTCAGTACTTCCTCAACAGATGGCACCTCAGCCAGGAACTCACAGGGGGTGACTTCTTCCAATATTTGAGGCACCGCAGCCTCAGCAGGGTCATCCCCACTTTGTGCCACGATGTTTTCCAGGCAGAGGGATTTCCCCTCCCCCAGGACCTCACAGAAATGCTCAGCAAATCTGCAAATCTGTTCCTGGGGGTCGGAGATTGGATCACCGTTCTTTCCCCTAATGATGGTAATAGGTGTGGTGCTACAGGTTACTTTTTTGATGGAGTTAAATAGGGATTTGTGATCCCGGGCCATTAAGGCAGACTCCATCTCCTCAGCAACCCGCAACCACCACCCATCCTTGCAGCGCCTCACGGCTCTCCGAACCTCCGAGCGAAGGCTGCGATAAGCCTCCTCATTCTCTGACGTGGGATTCTGTAGCCGATGACAGTGGGCCTGTCGCTTTTTCTCAACCATCCTGAACACCTCTGTCAGCCAGGGTCTCTGGGGAGGTCTGGAACGCGTACCCAAAGCAGCCATTGCAGCTGCATGGGTCACAGTCCTAAACCTCGCCCATTTACCCTCGACATCAGGAGGAGTGGGGGACGATGCCAACTCCAGCCACAAGCGATGATGAAATGCTCGCTTGCAACTTTCATCAGATAACTGAGACCAGGCCACCTTAGGATGGAATGGGGTCCTGGGTGTACACCCACCACCGAAGTGGAAGAATGGCAGGCGCATCTTACAGATGACTAGTCGATGGTCAGAGGGCAGATCAGCTCCACGGTAGGTCCTGGTGTCAAGGACATGGGCTCGCATCCGCTGGTCCGTCACTATTTAGTCCAGCAGATGTTCTTGCTTGGACCCGGCATGCATCCATGATGTTGTGTGGATGCGCCGATGCCGGAACAGCGTGTTGGTAATTACAAGCCCATGGGCTGCACAAAAATCTAGCAGCCTCCTACCGTTGTTATTGAGCTGATCTGGCCCATGCCCTCCAATCACTCCAGACCAGGTGCCAGTATCATGACCAACTCGGGCATTGAAGTCACCCAACATGATGACTCTATCCCGAGGGGCCACTTTAGCCAGCACCTGTGACAGGAGGTCATAGAAGGCATCTGACTCATCGGCTTTGCCTGCATCCCTCCACGGATGTTCATCTTCGGTGGGGGCATAAGTAACCACGACCACCACTCCTCGCCTCCGGTTGATGGGAAGGCGAGCCCAAAGTAGCCTGGGGCTTACAGCTTCCCACACCTCACCGCCACGCTCCCACGCCCCCTTCATTCTTTTGTTCAGAAGAAGAGCCACACCCTGTTGTTTGGCAGTCTGCTGCCCCTAGTAGAGGACTGTCCACCCCTCATGGTGGCAGGAGCCAGAACACAGAGACACAGACACAGAGACACACAGAGACACCCAGACAGAGACACACAGACACACAGAGACACAGAGACACGGAGACACACAGAGACATAGAGACACCCAGACAGACACACAGAGACACCCAGACAGAGACACACAGAGACAGAGAGACACACAGAGACACAGACACACAGAGACACGCAGAGACACACAGACACACAGAGACACACACAGACACACAGAGACACAGACAGACACACAGAGACACAGACAGACACACAGAGTCACAAACACACAGACACACACAGAGAGACACAGAGACACACAGAGACATAGATACACCCAGACAGACACAGAGACACCCAGACAGACACACAGAGACACACAGAGACACATACACGCAGAGACAATGAGACACACAGAGACACACAGAGACACAGACACACATAGACACAGAGACACACAGAGACACACAGAGACACAGACAGACACACAGAGACACAGACAGACACAGACAGACACACAGAGACACAGAGACACACAGAGACACACACACAGACACAGAGACACACACAGACACAGAGACACAGAAACACACACAGACACACAGAGACACACAGACACACACAGACGCAGACACACAGAGACACAGACAGACACACAGAGACACACACAGAGACACAGACAGACACACAGAGACACAGACAGACACACAGAGACACAGACAGACACACAGAGACACACAGACACACAGAGACACACATAGACACATACAGAGACACACAGAGACACATACAGAGACACACAGACAGACACACACAGACAGACACACAGAGAGACACACAGAGACACACAGAGACACAGAGACACACACAGACACACAGAGACACACACAGACACACACAGAGACACACACAGAGACACACACAGACAAACACAGACAAAGACACAGACACACAGAGACACAGAGACACAGAGACACACAGAGACACACAGACACACAGAGACACACGGAGACACACGGAGACAGACACAGAGATACACAGAGACACACAGACACAGAGACACACACAGACACACACAGACACACAGAGACAGAGACACAGACACACAGAGACACACAGAGACACAGAGACACACAGAGACACACATACACAGAGACACACATACACAGAGACACACAGAGACACACACACACACACAGAGAGACACAGAGACACACAGACACACAGAGAGACACAGACACACAGAGACAGAGACACACAGAGACACAGACACACACAGACACACAGAGACACACACAGACACAGAGACACACAGAGACACACACAGACACAGGGACACAGAGACACACAGAGACACACAGAGACACAGAGACACACAGAGACACACACAGACACACAGAGACACACACAGACACACACAGACACACAGAGACACACAGAGACACACACACAGAGACACACACACAGAGACACACAGACACACACATAGACAGAGACACACAGAGACACACATAGACACAAAGACACACAGAGACACACAGAGACAGAGACAGTCAGAGACACAGAGACACAGACACACACAGAGACAACACAGAGACACACACAGACACAGAGACACACAGAGACAACACAAAGACACACACGGAGAGACACAGAGACACAAAGAGACAACACAGACACAGAGACACACAGAGACACACACAGAGACACAGAGACACACACAGAGACACAGACACACAGAGAGACACACAGAGACACACAGAGACACCCACAGAGACACAGAGACACACAGAGACAGAGACACAGAGAGACACAGAGACAACACAGACACACAGAGACACACAGAGACACACAGAGACAACACAGACACACACACAGAGAGACACAGACACACAGAGACACACACACAGAGCACAGAGACACACAGAGACAACACAGAGACACACAGAGACACAGACACACAGAGACACGGACACACAGACAAACACACAGACACACAGAGACACAACTCAGCCTCTGTGTCTCTTTGTGGGTCTCACCGTTCAAGTGATGGACGCAGGACAGTCGGAGCTGCATGCACGCTGGAGATGAGGATGGTACCGCTGCTGGTACTGCTGGTACTGCTGCTGGTACTGCTGCTGGTACCGCTGGTACTGCTGCTGGTACTGGTACCGCTGGTACTGCTGATGGTACTGCTGGTACTGGTACCGCTGGTACTGGTACTGCTGGTACTGCTGCTGGTACTGGTACCGCTGGTACCGCTGGTACTGCTGATGGTACTGCTGGTACTGGTAGCGCTGGTACTGGTACTGCTGTTGGTACTGCTGGTACTTGCACTGCTGGTACTGGTACTACTGATGGTACTGCTGGTACTGTTGGTACTGCTGTTGGTACTGGTACTGCTGGTACTGCTGGTACTTGTGGTACTGCTGGTACTTGTACTGCTGGTACTGTTGGTACTGCTGCTGGTACTGCTGGTACTGTTGGTACTGCTGCTGGTACTACTGGTACTTGTACTGCTGGTACTGCTGGTACTGGTACTGCTGGTACTGCTGTTGGTACTGGTACTGCTGGTACTACTGCTGGTACTGCTGGTACTGGTACTGCTGGTACTGGTACTACTGTAGGTACTACTGGTAGTGGTACTACTGTAGGTACTGGTACTGCTGCTGGTACTGCTGCTGGTACTGCTGCTGGTACTGCTGCTGGTACTTCTGGTGGTACTGCTGGTGGTACTGCTAGTACTGGTACTGCTGGTACTGGTACTACTGTAGGTACTGGTACTACTGTAGGTACTGGTACTACTGCTGGTACTGGTACTACTGCTGGTACTGGTACTACTGGTACTACTGCTGGTACTGGTACTGCTGGTACTGGTACTATTCTAGGTACTGGTACTACTGCTGGTACTGGTACTACTGATGGTACTGGTACTACTGGTACTACTGCTGGTACTGTAGGTACTACTGCTGGTACTGGTACTACTCTAGGTACTGGTACTACTGCTGGTACTGGTACTACTGATGGTACTGCTGGTACTGGTACTACTGCTGGTACTGGTACTACTGATGGTACTACTGCTGGTACTGTAGGTACTACTGCTGGTACTGGTACTGTAGGTACTACTGCTGGTACTGGTACTGTAGGTACTACTGCTGGTACTGGTACTACTCTAGGTACTGGTACTACTGCTGGTACTGGTACTACTCTAGGTACTGGTACTACTGCTGGTACTGGTACTACTCTAGGTACTGGTACTACTGATGGTACTACTGATGGTACTACTCTAGGTACTGATGGTACTACCGATGGTGCTGCTGCTGCTGTGTGCTGGTTTCTTGGTGCAAGCGGCAGGAGCTGTGCACAGTGCAGAGACGAGCTGGGGACACAGAGAGAGTGGTGAGTGGTGAGTAAGTGGTGAGTGTGTGGTGAGTGGTGAGTAAGTGGTGAGTGTGTGGTGAGTGGTGAGTAAGTGGTGAGTGTGTGGTGAGTGGGTGGTGAGTGTGTGGGTGGGTGAGTGAGTGGGTGGCTGAGTGAGTGGCTGAGTGAGTGAGTGGCTGAATGAGTGGCTGAGTGAGTGGCTGAGTGAGTGAGTGGCTGAGTGAGTGAGTGGCTGAGTGAGTGGGTGAGTGGCTGAGTGAGTGGCTGAGCGAGTGGGTGAGTGGCTGAGTGAGTGGCTGAGTGAGTGGCTGAGTGAGTGGCTGAGTGAGTGGCTGAGTGAGTGAGTGGCTGAGTGAGTGGCTGAGTGAGTGGCTGAGTGAGTGGCTGAGTGAGTGAGTGGCTGAGTGAGTGAGTGGGTGAGCGAGTGGTGGGTGAGTGGCTGAGTGAGTGGCTGAGTGAGTGGCTGAGTGAGTGGCTGAGTGAGTGAGTGGCTGAGTGAGTGGCTGAGTGAGTGGCTGAGTGAGTGGCTGAGTGAGTGGCTGAGTGAGTGGGTGAGTGTCTGAGTGAGTGAGTGGTTGAGTGAGTGGCTGAGTGAGTGGCTGAGTGAGTGGCTGAGTGAGTGGCTGAGTGAGTGGCTGGGTGAGTGGCTGAGTGAGTGGCTGAGTGAGTGGCTGAGTGAGCGGCTGAGTGAGTGGCTGAGTGAGTGGGTGAGTGGCTGAGTGAGTGGCTGAGCGAGTGGCTGAGTGAGTGGCTGAGTGAGTGGCTGAGTGAGTGGCTGAGTGAGTGGGTGAGTGGCTGAGTGAGTGGCTGAGCGAGTGGCTGAGCGAGTGGCTGAGTGAGTGGCTGAGTGAGTGGCTGAGTGAGTGGCTGAGTGAGTGGCTGAGTGGCTGAGTGAGTGGTTGAGTGAGTGGTTGAGTGAGTGGCTGAGTGAGTGGCTGAGTGAGTGGCTGAGTGAGTGGCTGAGTGAGTGAGTGGCTGAGTGATCTCCACTGACCTATCACACTGCTCCATCTTCTGTTGGTGGTTGTAGTGATCATCACCATCACCACCATCACCTTCAGCAGCACCACCATCACCACTACCACCACCACCATCACCACTACCACCACCACCGCCACCACCATCACCATCATCACCACCACCACTATCACCATCACCACCACTACCACCATCACTACCACCATCACCACTATCATCACCACCACCACCACTATCACCACCACCATCACTACCACCATCACCACTATCATCACCACCACTACCACCATCACTACCTCCACCACCACCATCACCACCGCCATAACGTCGCTTCGGCATCACAGGTGATGCAGACTCAACCCATCCTTCATCACCACCATCACCATCATCACCACCACCATCACCACCACCATCACCACCACCATCACCACCATCAACACGTCTGTAGTGGTTGATGATCCAAACTGGTAGAGACATTGTGACTTGTTAGTAGAGGTTACTACTAATTATATACTACTACTAACTAGTTAATAGTTATATAGTACTACTAGATACTACTAACTAGTTATATAGTACTACTAGATACTACTAACTAGTTAATAGTTATATAGTACTACTAGATACTACTACTACTACCACGCCCTTTGCTCAGCCAGGCTCTGCCGCTGCTAGATGAGTCACCCTCACGTGACCAGCCAGGCTCTGCCGCTGCTAGATGAGTCACCCTCACGTCACCTGCCAGGCTCTGCCACTGCTAGATGAGTCACCCTCACGTGACCTGTGACCTGCCAGGCTCTGCCGCTGCTAGATGAGTCACTCTCACGTGACTTTGACCTGCCAGGCTCTGCCGCTGCTAGATGAGTCACCCTCACGTGACCTGTGACCTGCCAGGCTCTGCCACTGCTAGATGAGTCACCCTCACGTGACCTGTGACCTGCCAGGCTCTGCCACTGCTAGATGAGTCACCCTCACGTGACCAGCCAGGCTCTGCCACTGCTAGATGAGTCACCCTCACGTGACCTTTGACCTGCCAGGCTCTGCCGCTGCTAGATGAGTCACCCTCACGTGACCTGTCAGGCTCTGCCACTGCTAGATGAGTCACCCTCACGTGACCTTTGACCTGCCAGGCTCTGCCGCTGCTAGATGAGTCACCCTCACGTGACCTGTGACCTGCCAGGCTCTGCTGCTGCTGCTAGATGAGTCACCCTCACGTGACCAGCCAGGCTCTGCCACTGCTAGATGAGTCACCCTCACGTGACCAGCCAGGCTCTGCCGCTGCTGGATGAGTCACCCTCACGTGACCAGCCAGGCTCTGCCGCTGCTAGATGAGTCACCCTCACGTGACCTGTGACCTGCCAGGCTCTGCCACTGCTAGATGAGTCACCCTCACGTGACCAGCCAGGCTCTGCCGCTGCTAGATGAGTCACCCTCACGTGACCAGCCAGGCACTGCCGCTGCTAGATGAGTCACCCTCACGTGACCAGCCAGGCTCTGCCGCTGCTAGATGAGTCACCCTCACGTGACCAGCCAGGCTCTGCCGCTGCTAGATGAGTCACCCTCACGTGACCTGTGACCTGCCAGGCTCTGCCACTGCTAGATGAGTCACCCTCACGTGACCAGCCAGGCTCTGCCGCTGCTGGATGAGTCACCCTCACGTGACCAGCCAGGCTCTGCCGCTGCTAGATGAGTCACCCTCACGTGACCTGCCAGGCTCTGCCGCTGCTAGATGAGTCACCCTCACGTGACCTGTGACCTGCCAGGCTCTGCCGCTGCTAGATGAGTCACCCTCACGTGACCAGCCAGGCTCTGCCGCTGCTAGATGAGTCACCCTCACGTGACCTTTGACCTGCCAGGCTCTACCGCTCCTAGATGAGTCACCCTCACGTGACCTTTGACCTGCCAGGCTCTGCCGCTGCTAGATGAGTCACCCTCACGTGACCAGCCAGGCTCTGCCGCTGCTAGATGAGTCACCCTCACGTGACCTGTGACCTGCCAGGCTCTGCCACTGCTGGATGAGTCACCCTCACGTGACCTTTGACCTGCCAGGCTCTGCCGCTGCTAGATGAGTCACCCTCACGTGACCAGCCAGGCTCTGCCGCTGCTAGATGAGTCACCCTCACGTGACCTTTGACCTGCCAGGCTCTGCCGCTGCTAGATGAGTCACCCTCACGTGACCAGCCAGGCTCTGCCACTGCTAGATGAGTCACCCTCACGTGACCAGCCAGGCTCTGCCGCTGCTAGATGAGTCACCCTCACGTGACCTTTGACCTGCCAGGCTCTGCCACTGCTGGATGAGTCACCCTCACGTGACCTTTGACCTGCCAGGCTCTGCCACTGCTAGATGAGTCACCCTCACGTGACCTGTGACCTGCCAGGCTCTGCTGCTGCTGGATGAGTCACCCTCACGTGACCTGTGACCTGCCAGGCTCTGCTGCTGCTGGATGAGTCACCCTCACGTGACCTTTGACCTGCCAGGCTCTGCCGCTGCTGGATGAGTCCTAGCGCCGACGGACGGCACGAGGGTGGATGGAGCCGTCCACACTGCCGTCGACCGACGAGAAGCGACCCATGACGACGTGGAGACAACACGGAGACAACACGGAGACACGGAGAGAGACACGGAGACAGAGACGTGGAGACAACGCGAAGACAACACGGAGACAACACGGAGACACGGAGAGAGACACGGAGATAACGAGAGAGACACGGAGACAACGCGGAGAGACAACGCGGAGAGAGACACGGAGACACGGAGACAGACACGGAGACAACGCGGAGACACGGAGACAACGCGGAGAGAGACACGGAGAGAGATACGGGGACACGGAGAGAGACACGGGGACACGGAGAGAGACACGGAGACACGGAGACAGACACGGAGACAACGCGGAGACAACGTGGAGACACGGAGACAACGCGGAGAGAGACACGGAGAGAGACACGGGGACACGGAGAGAGACACGGAGAGAGACACGGAGAGAGACACGGGGACACGGAGAGACACGGGGACACGGAGAGAGACACGGAGAGAGACACGGGGACACAGAGACAATGCGGAGACAACGCGGAGACAACACGGAGAGACACGGAGACACGGAGAGAGACACGGGGACACGGAGACAACGCAGAGACAACGCAGAGAGAGACACGGAGAGAGACACGGAGACAACGCGGAGACAACGCGGAGACACAGAGACACCGCAGGGACACGGAGAGAGACACGGGATAGAATAACAGACTGACACAGACTTAGAGACACGGAGACAGACTAAGAGACACGGGGACACTGAGACAGATTGAGACAGACTGAGAGACACTGACAGACACTGAGACAGACTGAGACAGACTGAGACAGACTGAGACAGACTCAGACAGACTGAGACAGACTGAGAGACACTGAGACAGACTAAGAGACACTGCGACAGACTGAGAGACACTGAGAGACACTGAGACAGACTGAGACAGACTGAGAGACACTGCGACAGACTCAGACAGACTGAGACAGACTGAGACAGACTGAGAGACACTGAGACAGACTGAGACAGACTGAGAGACACTGAGACAGACTCAGACAGACTGAGACAGACTGAGACAGACTAAGAGACACTGAGACAGACTGTCTCAATGTGCACACTGGACAGACCCTGCAAAGAGAAGAGACAGAGATCACCATCAGTATCACCATCACTATCAAAATCACTATCACCATCACATCACTCTCAAGTATCATCACTATCACCACCATCACTATCACCATCACCACCATCACTATCACTATCACCACCATCACTATCACCATCACTATCACAATCAGTATCACCATCACCACCATCACTATCGCTATCAACATCACTATCACCATCACCACCATCACTATCACCATCATCACCATCACTATCACCATCATCACCATCACTATCACCATCATCACTATCACCATCACCATCACCACCATCACCACCATAAACACCATCATCACCATTATCAACATCACCATCATCACTATCACCATCACCACCATCACCACCATCACCACCATCACCATCACTATCACCATCACTATCACCACCACTATCACCACCATCACCACCATCACGATCACTATAACCATCACTATCACCACCATCAACACCATCACCACCATCACTATCACCATCAGGATCTTCACCATCACCACTATCACCATCATTATCACCATCACCACTATCATCACCATCAACACCACCATCACTATCCCTATCACCATCACTATCACCATCACCATCACCACCATCACTATCACTATCATCACTATCACCAACATCACCATCAGTATCACCACCACCACCACCATCACTATAAAAATCACTATCACCACGATCACCATCACCACTATCATCACCATCAACACCATCACCACCAAAATCACCACGATCACCATCACCACCATCAACACCATCACCATCATCACCATCACTATCACCATCGCCATAATCACTATCACCATCACTATCACCATCACTATCACCATCACTATCACCATCACCACCATCACCACCACTATCACCATCATCACCATCACCACCATCACCATAATCACCACCATCACCATAATCACCACCATCACCACCACCATCATCACCATCACCACCATCACAACCACCACCATCACCAACATCACCATCACCACCATCACCACCATCTCCACCACCATCATCACCACCATCACCACCATCACCATCATCACCACCATCACCATCATCACCACCATCACCACCACCATCATCACCACCATCATCACCACCATCACCAACACCACCATCATCACCACCATCACCACCATCAACACAACCACCATCTCCACCATCACCACCACCACCATCCATCACCACCACCATCACCACCACCACCACCATCATCACCATCATCACCACCATCACCATAATCACCACCATCACCATAATCACCACCATCACCACCACCATCATCACCATCACCACCATCACAACCACCACCATCACCAACATCACCATCACCACCATCACCACCATCACCACCATCTCCACCACCATCATCACCACAATCACCACCATCACCATCATCACCACCATCACCACCACCATCATCACCACCATCAGCACCACCATCACCAACACCACCATCATCACCACCAACACCACCATCATCACCACCATCACCACCATCACCACCATCAACACAACCACCATCTCCACCATCACCACCACCATCCATCACCACCACCATCACCACCACCACCACCATCATCACCATCATCACCACCATCACCATAATCACCACCATCACCATAATCACCACCATCACCACCACCATCATCACCATCACCACCATCACAACCACCACCATCACCAACATCACCATCACCACCATCACCACCATCTCCACCACCATCATCACCACCATCATCACCACCATCAGCACCACCATCACCAACACCACCATCATCACCACCAACACCACCATCATCACCACCATCACCACCATCAACACAACCACCATCTCCACCATCACCACCACCATCCATCACCACCACCATCACCACCACCATCATCACCACCATCACCATAATCACCACCATCACCATAATCACCACCATCACCACCACCATCATCACCATCACCACCATCACAACCACCACCATCACCAACATCACCATCACCACCATCACCATCATCACCACCATCACCACCACCATCATCACCACCATCAGCACCACCATCACCAACACCACCATCATCACCACCAACACCACCATCATCACCACCATCACCACCATCACCACCATCAACACAACCACCATCTCCACCATCACCACCACCACCATCACCACCATCACCACCAACACCATCACCACCATCACCACCATCACCACCACCACTATCACCACCATCACCACCATCACCACCATCTCCACCACCATCATCACCACCATCACCACCATCACCATCATCACCACCATCACCATCATCACCACCATCACCACTACCATCATCACCACCATCATCACCACCATCACCAACACCACCATCATCACCACCATCACCACCATCAACACAACCACCATCTCCACCATCACCACCACCACCATCCATCACCACCACCATCACCACCACCACCACCATCATCACCATCATCACCACAATCACCACCATCACCACCACCATCATCACCATCACCACCATCACAACCACCACCATCACCAACATCACCATCACCACCATCACCACCATCACCACCATCTCCACCACCATCATCACCACAATCACCACCATCACCATCATCACCACCATCACCACCACCATCATCACCACCATCAGCACCACCATCACCAACACCACCATCATCACCACCAACACCACCATCATCACCACCATCACCACCATCACCACCATCAACACAACCACCATCTCCACCATCACCACCACCACCACCATCCATCACCACCACCATCACCACCACCACCACCATCATCACCATCATCACCACCATCACCATAATCACCACCATCACCATAATCACCACCATCACCACCACCATCATCACCATCACCACCATCACAACCACCACCATCACCAACATCACCATCACCACCATCACCACCATCTCCACCACCATCATCACCACAATCACCACCATCACCACCATCACCATCATCACCACCATCACCACCACCATCATCACCACCATCAGCACCACCATCACCAACACCACCATCATCACCACCAACACCACCATCATCACCACCATCACCACCATCACCACCATCAACACAACCACCATCTCCACCATCACCACCACCACCATCACCACCATCACCACCAACACCATCACCACCATCACCACCACCACTATCACCACCATCACCACCATCACCACCATCACCACCAACACCATCACCACCATCACCATCACTACTATCACCACCATCACCACCAACACCACCACCACCATCACCACCAACACCACCACCACCATCATCACACAGACCACACACACCCAACGCACACACCACACACACGCACCACACCCACACCACACAACACACCACACCCACACCACACACACCACACACACACACTACACACCCCACACACACACACCACATCACATACACACCACACACACACCACACACACACACAGCACACACACCACACCACACACACCCCACACACACACACCACACACACACCACACACACACTACACACCCCACACACACACCACATCACATACAAACCACACACACACACCACACTACACACACCACACACACACACCACACACACACACCACACTACACACACACCACACACACACCACACGGGGCTTACATCCCGGAATGCTACAACGCCCTGGGCAAATACAAAGGTCGCCCAGGTAGCCTCAGGCAGGGCTCTAGGGCAAAGTGCGGTTGTCAGTAGTGGTTAGAAAGCACCGCCTAGAGACTCATAGTCTAGAGACTCAGGGTGTAGTAGAGACTCAGGGTGTAGCAGAGACTCAGGGTGTAGCAGAGACTCAGGGTGTAGTAGAGACTCAGGGTGTAGCAGAGACTCAGGGTGTAGCAGAGACTCAGGGTGTAGTAGAGACTCAGGGTGTAACAGAGACTCAGGG